TCCTAACCCAAGTCCCTTTCTTAACATTAGTATAAATCTATTAAACTGTGCAACTATCATGAATTAAATCAGAATCAGAAAGCAGAATGAGTCTCACCGAGTCTCCCATTTGGGTTGCAAGTTTCAAAGGTAAAATCCAGTTGGTTTAAACCTAAAAGTACTCTGTAAAAGCTGTCCATATACTGCAAATGACGTGTTAGTGTCTTGTATCTGCAGATGGTGATCCAAATTCAGTTGTTATTGTATGAAAAGCCACATACAGTTTTCCGGTGAGTCATAGCGCAGATGAGGGGACATTTACTTCCTTCTGAAACCCTCTTGAGTAAACTTTTGTTGTGCTATTGAATTGAATCCAACTCGAATTAAACATTTTTCATGCTACTTTTTCATACCGCAGTGCTCCTCGCGCCTCACTCCCCCTTCAGAACTGAAGTTGTTGTGTACAGCTTTGTATCATACTCATATTTGTCATATTTGTTGAAAATTGTCGAGTGGGAGGCTTGTGGGCGGAGCTTTGGACAGAATGGTACTGCAAACCATAAGGAGGGTTTGAATAGGCCCCAGGAGAGATCACTACATTACTCAAACATGCATGGATGACATCTAAAACCTCATCAGGCATGTTTTTGATGTATGATCAATGGTATAACATGGCAGAAAACTCGAAAAAGTCAATTTTACGTAATTCATGCTTTCTAAACCTGACAACACTCTACTCCCCCTTGTGATGTCATGAGGTAATACGGGAAGTGCTTCATTGTATTTTTAAACTCCATACACCTTCATTAGAATCATTTGGATGATTTCAGACCTGGAATTGCTGATCTTTACTGAACTAAAGATAAAAAGTAGCTGTTAACTCAAACATGTGTACATTAAACAAAACACAACTCCAGGTATGTTTTCTATGTCAAACTTTTTGGCTGGGAGTCCAGCACCTGCTTGTTTCTGTGGAGATGTCATTGCTCTCCCTGGAATGTTCCACAGTATGACATTAAACAGCTCTACCTTACATTTATTCAATTACAGGTGGTTTTATAGCTAAAAAAAAACTAGAAAAACCGTGGATCTATAATAAAAACTAGATTGACTACGGCTCAAGATCGACTACGACTACGCCCAGGAGTTTGAGGCCAGAAAGAATTCTCCCATACAAGCACAGTTTTTGGGGAATTCAAACTGCCAGTGTTCAGCTGACAAGGGCATCGACAGCTTTCACAGAGGTTGGACTTTGTAGGGATCACAACATAAACTTTTTGAAATGTTTAAATCCTCAAAGAGCCTAAAAGGGATCTTTGTAAGACTTAGCCTAGCCCCGCTCTGACCTCGCGCTAGCTCTGCTCTAGATTCTCTTGCTCTGATTGGTCCAAACTAGGAATGGGCATGATTATTCGACTAATCGATAATGGATCAAGAATTTCATTGATCACCTTCCTTTTTAATTGATAAACCGAATATAGGTTGCTGTGCATAGCGTAAGGAGACGAGGTTGGGTCTGACACAAACACAGGAGTTCAGCCTCACAGTCCTGCGTTTCAGCTCTGGCTCCCACTGTACCACTCGAGTGTGTTTACATGCACATCAGTGTTCCAGTTTCGTTATGGTGCATGTATACGCAGTATCCTGGTTACTGCAACATAAAAAGCTGTGCTAAACATGAACCATCTCCATCGCGACACACACACAGAACAGAACTCAACATCATCATCATCAACATCCCTCTGTCACTGAGAGAACACTCATATTCCACTGAGTCGTGTCCTTTAGTCCGACAAAAGCACAAAGAAAAAGTTGTTTTTTTCAGCTCTTGTAGTTTCTTGTAGTATTCTTTCAAGTTGTTGACAAAAAATTAAAAAACTCATGTCGGTAACAGAGGGAATGAAATATGCAGCACTTTTTTGGGCAATAAATCCAAACAGTGATAACTCTTGGTTCTCACTTACATATCCTTAACAAACTGGTTTGAATATTTGCTTCATATAGTTTTCTACCATATGGTACAAGATTAGGTTGAAAAACCTCTTACTTTTTGAGTAATGAGATTTTTTATTAAGAAAGGTCATGGTAACGGAGGAAAAAGTAACGGAGGGAAAATTGTGCAAACAAGTAGAAGGTGCAGGATTTTGCATAATTTGTCAACTTTTTTTTCCCAAATATTACTATATTACTTCAAAATTAAAGGAAACTATTTCTATAAAATATGTCAGTCCTTCCAAGCAAATTTTTATCATTTAAAAAAAAAAAAAAAAATCATGTACCTTCATCAACAGTTCAAAGATGGAATAACACAAGATATGATGAAATACATCCATTTATTGACATGATTTTCAGGTCTTTGAAATTTGGGAAATAATTTTTGTTCCATGTTTCATACATGGTCTGTTTAAAACATATGTAACTTTAGAACCAAAAATGGTACAGAAAAAAGGTCAACAGTTTCATAAACTAGAGTACATATGTATCTGTTCAATACATTTTTATATCAGATGCATTAACTTGAATTTTTGGCCTTGCTGTTTACTTCTGCTTGACTGGGCCCACATGTAAATGAGCCAGGTGGTTTTGTTTCTGTAAAAGTAAATACACGTATCAAAGCTGCATAAAACACATTATAATGTCAAACATGCTAGTGTGACTCTGTAGTGGTTATGGGTTATATGATGTAAAGTTGAGTTTATTTATGCAGATTTGTAAAAGTAACAATAATGATGATACTTTTTAATATAATAACGTTAATGATTAATCAAAAGTCTCCCAACGATTGATTAAGAAAATTGATTGAATGCCCATCCCTAGTTCGAACACTCCACGCCGTACACGTTATAGATGCGTACACGTTATAGATGTTACACAGGTTGGAGGAGCTCACCCATATTGAGGAAGTAAATGTAGAAGAGAAAATAATTTATTTTTGGGCCCATGTGCCAATAAGCAGGTCTTGTTTACTCACCATGACAATAGAAAGTTTTAATACCATACTGTGAAACATTCCAGTCAACACAATAACATCTCCACGGAGAAAATGTACCCAATCTTTAAAGTGCACAGGAGTCAATTTCTGCGTAATATAGGAGCTTTAAATATTAGAATGTTTTCCAAATCGAAGAATCCTTACACTGGACGACATTCTTACAGTCCTCCTAATAAATAATAAACGAGCGGGCTACAGTAGCGCTCTGAGGCATTCTGGGTAATATGGAGCCGTAATATGGGGCTGTAGCGTTCCTTACGAGGCAGCTGGTCATGCCTATAAACACTGATGGATGGATGGAGCCGGGGCGAGGCGTGCGCTAATTTGGAACCACTCTTAACTCCCCTCATTAATAATTATTGGGTGATTTCATATGGGGAGACGCAGCGGCCTGTCCCACACGTCTCGCCGTAATTACCCATGTACAAAGTCAATGTCAGATAATGAGAAAATGGACTTGAATTAGCTCGGCTCCTTCCGCGGCCGATCGTAAACACCGTGTTAGTTGTTTCGGAGGATTTTGTACAAAAGGTCAGATCTGAGCTGTTGTGTTTTCTGCTAGATTTGCGTGGATTGGTGTATGTGTGTGGTTAAAGAAAAACAAATATAAAATGCAAGAATAATTATGAAGGACTAATCTAGGTTTCCAGAGTCAAGGTCTCTTTACAGGCTCATGTGTCATTAATTATGTCTTCAGATAAACGTGATCATTCGTTCATTCGTTTTTCAATATAAAACCAAAAATTAGAAAATAAAAAAAACTACGGTTTTCTTCATTATTTGTCTCCAAAACCAAAATGAAAAAATGGATAACGATTTTTTTTTTTCAGTTTTGTGTTTAAATGAATTATGGGGAAAAAAAATAAACAAAAACGGATAATGGCCATTCCCCGTTTCCGTGACTTAAACTGTGATGTCGGACATTTGCGCCGCATATGGACTGAACCAGGACTAAACCAGGTCCGGGACCAGATCGGGACTGAGACGAGGACTTAGACTGTGAACTGGATCAGGACTGAGACTGGGACCAGACCAGGACTGAGACCAGGACCACACCGGGACCACACCGGGACCACACCAGGACCAGACCGGGACCAGACCGGGAACACTGGGATTTAGACTGGGACAAATCCGGGACTGAGACTGGGACCAGACCAGGACTGAGACTGGGACCACCGGGACTGAGACCGGGACCAGACCGGGAACACTGGGATTTAGACTGGGACAAATCCGGGACTGAGACAGGGACCAGACCAGGACTGAGACCGGGGCCACTGGGACTGAGACCAGGACCAGACTGGGATTGAGACCGAGACCACACCGGGACCAGACCGGGACTGAGACTGGGACCAGACTGGGACTGAGACCGAGAGCACACCGGGACCAGACCGAGACTGAGACTGGGACCAGACTGGGGCTGAGACCGGGACCACACCGTGACTGAGACTGGGACCACTGGGACTTAGACTGGGACAAAACCGCGACTGAGATTGGGACCAGACCAGGACTGAGACCGGGACCACTGAAACTGAGACCAGGACCAGACTGGGATTGAGACCGAGACCACACCAGGACCAGACCGGGACTGAGACTGGGACCAGACTGGGACTGAGACCGAGAGCACACCGGGACCAGACCGGGACTGAGACCAGGACTAAGACTGGGACCAGACCAGGACTATTCATTTAAACACAACATCTAAAACTGAAAATACGAATCGTTATCTGTTTTTTTTTCATTTTGGTTTTGGAGAGAAAAATTATGTTTTTTTTTGTTTTCTTATTTTTGGTTTTATATTGAAAAACAAATGAATGAATGAAATACGGATTCATGTGACTGACATCTTTCTTGTAATATTGATATAAAGCGACTTAATTAAAATGACAAGTCCGCTGATTTCTCTGTTGGAAAATTGCAGTATCTAGTGATGGATTAAGAGTGAATTCGCGCCTCTTATGGATAGAAGCAGATCAAACTAGTGAGCAGTTAACCTCTTAGAATTCCAGGCCATTTTGTGAAATCACTCTTGTTCTGACCTCTCCAAACTAAAATGATTGCCATGAGTGAACCCTCAGTTGCATATACACAAGTTTGGGTTTTTTTGTAAGGTAACACCCAATAGTTTCACCCACAGGTGTAAGAATCACTCTAAGTATGTCTGGTAGGTATTTATACACTTTGGCACACACCTAAAAAATTATTTTTCTCATCCTCGCCCAAATTTTTTTGTTAAAATTAAGGTGTAGAAAGCTGCAGTAGGTAGCTGGGGACTGAAACACTCTATATTTCTATTGAAAACCATGTTGACCTCTTACATTTCAAATTTGATGAGAATATCTATAAAAATGAGGATTTTAGACTACTTTTATTGCTAGTATATTTAGGCGTTTTCCAGAGGGACTTTTGCTTTATCCAAATTTATCCAAACCTATCCAAACCTATCCAAATGGAGACATTTGGAGAACGTTTGGAAAAAATGCAATAACTTTTGAATGCTTCAACCCACAGACATCAATGAGGGCTCTACTGAAAGCTCACACTTAGAGGAATCTTTATCTACACACCAAGCTGCTCTATTCCTTATGAAAATATATATAGCATATCAAAACACAATATAAAATGTATATTTATATATAAAATATAGTCAAAACAAGTGTTATGGGTCAAAATAAATGTATATTTACAAATGTATAACAATGCAAACTGTAAACAAACACACTTCAAACCGTAAACAAACACAATTCAAACTGTAAACACACACACACTGCAAACTGTAAAAACACTTTTCTATTGTCCTTGTTCTTTGTGCCAGTCATTATAACAGTCCCTTTGTGGCTGGAAACACAGGGGCACGTCACAGGTTGAACATTTTACAGCCGTTTTCGCATGGCACTTCCTGCATTTCAGTCTTCCTTGGGTCTTGTCACCACTTGCGACGATGTGCACAAGACGATGATGTGTCTCTTTCCTACTCTCCTCCTCCCGCTCTGTACTGATGGCTCCTGCCTCTGCCAGCTCCAATACAAGGGTTTCTCTAAATGCCTTTTGGTGCATTGGGATTTTAGCCTTTAACGTGCACTGTCCTTTATAAAGGATAAAGGCATTCACCACAGCAATGTCCACAAAATGATAAAAAAAGTCTTGTACCATTTTTTGGTTTTGTGTAAAACCTCATAATATCCGATCAATGCATCGGATAGGTCAACGCCTCCCATGTGCCTAAGGAAAAACACAAATACGTTAGCAACAAGCAAGTACAAAACTGAGAGGGGATGAAGCAATATTATATCATATACATACCTGTTATAGTCCTTGATGGCTGGTGGAACTGGCACATCTTTCATAGTCCAACAGCCTGTGTCATCCTTTACCCGGCGCTCCACTGTCTCCTCTCCATGGGCAGTGTGCATGGTGGAGCAGATGAATACATCACGGGTGTCTTTCCATTGGACAAAGAGCAAGGGGTCCTCACGAATCCACCTTATACTGCCACGGGGAGCTCTGGAGTCCAGCGTATTTTCTGTTGTCCTGGGTATCCTTGTCTATTAGTTTGACACTTTTTTTTTTCAGAAGGTCACGGAATAGAATAGGGCTAGTGTAAAAATTGTCTACATAGAGTTTATAGCCTGTGCCCAGTAGAGATGTGTCCAAAAGGGTCATAACAGAGTCATAGCTCAGCCCGTTCTTGCTGGCCTGAGAGCTTTTGCCCTCATAAACAAAGAAGTCCCATGTGTAGCCTGATTTTGAGTCAGGTTTGCTTTTTAAGTATTGTTTGAAGCTCACTCTTGCCTTTGATGCCACCATCCTTTCATCAATGGCGATATGCTGACCAGGTTGGTAATTCTGGCGGCATGCATCTCTTATCTCAGTATACAGTGGTTTGATCTTGCCCAAGCGGTCAAACTCTTCAGTGCCTCTTTTTCCTTCATTTTTGGCATCTTCTTCTGGACTACTCAAGTGGAGAGCACGGATAATAGAAAAGAATTTCTTTCCGGTCATAACTGATTTAGGGAATGGTAGGCTGTACAACTTTCCTCTTCTCCAGTAATCAGTAAGTGAAGGTACTTTTGCGAATCCCATGTATATAACAAGTGCCAAAAAAGAGAAAATGTCTTGAAGCGCAATGTCCGTCCATGCTCTGTATGCTGATTGGCCATGCATATTTGTGTTTCTGATAAGTGTCGATAACACAGTACCAGTAAAAAACAGCTGGAACAGTTCCAGACATGTGTAGTCAGATGTGCTAATGAGTTGAGGTCCAGGAGTACGTGTAGGACAAAAGGGAAGGGGGGTAGGTGTGAAATCCGCCACTTCTGTATTGTTCCAACGTCCTGTGGAAGGTGAAGATGGTCTTGCACCTCTGCCTCTGCCTCTGCCCCTCCTCCGTCCTCTGCCTCTTTTTGCTGTTTTCTCAACCCGGGGAATCTTTGAGGAAGGGCCCGGCTCTGGTTCGGCTGCAGGCACTGAAGTCAGTCTAAAATGAAAACAACAAAAACATATTATAATACTATAAATGATTTGTAAACAGTAAATGCTACTATACAGATTGCTCTACAGACTATTATTCTACTACTGTATAATATTCAACCACTACTTTACACTTGCCTCCTCCCCCACAAACATTCACACCATATTTACACCTTGCAACTAACTTCATTCCAACATTGTATACACCTAAAATAGTCTCATACTGTAACAAATGCACTCAAATACATTGCATTTATTGATCAAATAAAGTAACTTACTCAGGGTCATCAATTTCCACATGCACCTCAGCCAAAACTTCAGTGTCTGGTTCCCAATCAGGGTCAGAGTCATTTTGCCTGTAAAAGAAAGAATAGTGTTTATTTGCCACTATGTATGCCATATTATAAGATGCTGCAACTTATTGTTTCACCATTTATTATGTGTATACTTGTTTTACTCTGGGGCCTACATGCCCTTATCTACAGTAATTAGAGATTAGAAGTCTGATCCAAAAAACTAACTAAAAGTGCGCCTCCCCAGTGTGCACGGTGTACATAAATGCTGTTTAGGTATCTGATATTTTATTACATTTTACAATATTTTACATTTATATTTATAGCGGGAAAATAAATACACTTACCGATCCAAAATGGCATCCAATCCCTCAAAAAACATTTCTTCTTCCACTGAGTCCACCGCGGACACATCGCTCTCCGGTTCCGACAGCTCCTGGTCCGAGGTGTCACTCAGCCTTCTCGTACATATTTCCGCAGCTTCCAAGGCTGAAAACCGCGTCTTCTCTGTTCGTTTAGCCATAACTTTGAAACAAAGGCAGAGCACCAACACGCACGGAGTATGTACTGTACTATACTGTACTATACTGTACTGATGTACTGTGTACAGTAAACACCTCAAACTGTATATATAAACTCTTTTTTTGAACTGCCCATTGGCTATTAGGTAAAGCGTCACTAGTGCGTAACGCGTAACCATTGGCTGCGTAAAAGACGCACGCTTTACGCACACAGTCTGTTTGCGTTTGTGCCGGCGGTTACGCATCATCCAAGCGGCGCAGGTATACAGAAAACCATGGCTTGTGATATGTCATTGTGTTCATTGGCTCGTTGACTGTAAGGGAAAATATCACTCCGCGCCTGTAATCAAGTTTGGGTGATTGTGCACGAGGGGAAGTGGGGAGTAAACTTTCTGAGTTCTGTACCACTGATTGGCGATGTGGGGCTTTAGTAACCGAAAACTTGCACTCTATTGGCTGACCAAAGTGCCAATTAAATGCTAACTCTTTCGTTTAGCATAGACAGTAGCGTTATTGTGCTCAGTAAATATCTTAGCCCTGAAATCGCCAGAAGAAATGCAAAAAAAAGTGACGGCTCACTTTTCACGTTTGGAATACTTTGGAATACTTTCCGGCATAGAGGAACTAATTCATTTTGTGGACATATTTTCTTCACTGGATTATATTCTCTGGACCTGTACGGACCAAATGAGACCAACTTTCTGGGGATATGTGGATGTTTGACAGAATGAGAGCCCTCAAAAGGTAAGAACAGTCCAAATCCTTTGCACGTGCTTTTCTGTAAAACGGCTGTCTTGTCAGTGCTGTTGTGGTTACTGTGGAAAATGATTTGGATATTCAAAAAGACGATACTCGTAGCTTTAATTTGATGTGTATATTGTTAGTGTGGACGACGGAGATTCATATGCAAATTGCTGTAGCGTGTAAATTAAGGGCGACGCCCGCCGGCGGGCCGTCAGATCGGTTAAATAGGCTACATGATGCAGCTAAATCCTGCGTGTATCTAACCTTGCAAGAAAGATAAATTCACCCATTTTCTGTGAGTTCGCAATCAGCGTGAATGCCACGATGATTGGTTCTGATCACTTTCAGCATGAGTAGTAATGTATCACAGATAGAGAAAATAAAATTGGAGAATGAAGTAAGTACCGTGTATCGTTGGTGGTGGAAATGGGGGTAGATCAGAAATCCTGTAGGTGAATAAAGTTTTCTTCATGAATCACTCTAAATTCAACTTAGGAGAAGTAAATGAGAAGCTCTGAAAAGTTGATTTGGACTATAAGTCGCTCCGGAGTATAAGTCACACGAGCCAAAATGAGTAAAGAAGAAGAAAAAAAACATGTAAGTCGCACTGGACTATAAGTCGCACTTTTTGGGGAAATTTATTTTATAAAATCAGAGACCAGGAACCTACATTTCATCTTGAAAGCAAGTTCTAGTAATAACAATAGAACAGAGAACAACAGACGTCACATATGAACAGTTCTTCAGTTAACTATAGCATAAACAACAGAACAGAACAAGTTTATCAAACTCTCCATCTCACTCCAGATCACAAATTCTATTGAATTCTTCATCCTCGGTGTCACTTCTGAGCAACTCTGTGACCTCCGGAAGTAAACAGAGCACCACTTCCTCCTCTGTGTAGCTGTCGTCAGACTCAGCATCAGTTCCACTTAGAATTATTCCAGCCTTTTTGAATTCCGACAGGGTTGTCACTGAAGTCCAGGCTTTGTCAATCCATCCAGTGACTTCCAGGAAAGTTTCATGGTGCACCCTCCCAGTTTCACAAGTTTCTCGCTCACTCCAAACTTTCTTTCTGCTGCTCAATTATTGTTTTCAAATGTTTACACTCTATGGGTCCAGTCTATTTGAGGGAGTTACTTCAGCCCTATCCTCCACCCAGAGCCCTGAGATCAGCTGACCAGCTCCTGTTGGCAGTTTAAGACGAGACTAAAAACTCACCTCTTCTCCCTGGCATTTAGTACTAGCTGGTCAGGTTATCTTGGTGTTTTTATTGTAGTTTTCACATGTTTTCTGTATATATGTATTTGTTACTGTTTCTTCTATTTTGTTGACTTGTATGTGGAGCACTTTGGTCAGCTGAAGTTGTTTTAAATGTGCTGTATAAATAAACTTGAATTGAATTGAATTGAATACTATTTTCAGCTGCATATTTTGCTACTTGCAACTTGTAATCTGCAAAATATAATTTACTTTTTGGGAGCATTTGTGTTCAGTCTCCTCAGTCGTCTTTATAAGTTTGTTTACATGTTAAATTTTCAGTGGTACAGTGAGTAATGGTGCGATCGCCTGACATGATACAGACAGGACGGAGGCTCTTTCTGCCGGAGACATGCGCAGCACAGCGAAGTGACACTTGTGCATGAGTAATAGAAGTAGCAGATACTGACACACAAGCCTAGAGCGCCCTCTCGCGTCTCAGTGTGAACATTTTAATATATAATTCACACCGGAGTATAAGTCGTAGGACCACCCAAACCGTGAAAAAAGTGTGACTTATAGTCCAAAAAATATGGTACTTAAATTGTGCTAAGAAGTGTGTAGTAAATACTTAGGTCCTGTTATTACAGTGATAAAACTAGTTCTAAACCACCTTCCTCCTCAATTGTAAACACAGAAGAAACATCACTTGGTAGCGTTTTGCTGCTGTGTTGTGCATGTCTGTATTTTCTTGGTAATTGTCATTCCTGATTCCGCTCCATGTTTGTGTATTGGGAAATAACAAGTGTTGAATGATGAGCAGAGCATTGTTTACAGCACGGGCTTTCTCTGTTATAAAGGAATCACATTAGGAGTGTGTGGTTGGAGCGCGGTATAAAGGGGCCAAGCATAGGACAGTGCTAATGGCTGTCAGGTTGTGTATGTGAGTGTTAAAGGTGGAAGCAGAGAGTGCATGCCCATTTCCATTATAGGAATGTTATACCCAGTCAGGACCGAGTGTGCTCCCTCTGTAAAGTGAGATAAAGAATGAGGCTATTTAAAATCTACGGGCTATGTTTAACTATTACGCACATCAACTTACAAATAAAATGCGCCATGTTCACACCAAGAAGGGTCTAGGTTCAAGTCTGCAATGTGGAATGGGTTAAATAATCCAAGGAAGTGTTCATGGGCGTACTTCTGGCTCCATTGATTCGTTTCTAATTGACTTACATCAGAAAATTGTTACCCTTCTCTCCTTAAAGGGACAGTCCGTAATTTTAGACATAGGACCTCATTTCCTAGTGAGTCAGAGTGTTGGAGACGTGTGGAGAGACTTTTTGAAATATTCCATCCAATCTTTGTATTTGCAGAGGTCGCTGGTGCTAGGCTAGTGCATGTCAATGGCCATAGTTAGCCTGACGTTAAAAACAGTCATACCCACTCCACAAAACACCCGAAGCAAATCTATTATTACACCAGACTGTCCATGTGTGTGAAATGTCTGTGTTGATAGAATAATGTTTGAAATAAAACTAACCTTGCATCGCAGGAATAGTCGCATGTTGAGGGACTATTTTCTCAGCAGCAGTGAAATTTTACTTTGCCGGTAAGATAGGTGTTGGGGCAGAGGTGTAGTGGGCGTGGTATGTGGGGGTACACAGTCCACCCACTTCTCCCAACATGAGATATAAAAAAATAATATAAAGTAGGTACAACTAAAATGTTGAGTCTTTGTTTAAATTACGTGAAATTGACTCAAGTGAACTTTAAGTCTTGTTAGAAAGTTGTTACCTCCTCGAAAAAACATGTTGTGTTTTGCTTCATTCACACCTTTGAGAAACCTTTTTTTATTAGCGTGTCACTACGTTTGTGTGATTACCGTCTGAACATTAGACGCAAAAGTGGCGTTGCATCTTCACTTTTTATTCCGCGTTTAGACGAGCGTTTTCAGGAGGAAATCTGCGTGTATACTGTGATGCAAAAGTGTGTGGAATTCGATTGAGTACGCATGCCAGGCAGCGAGGTGGTGACACTAGATGGTGATGTATGTGACGTAAACGTGTACGCAAAAAAAGGCTACAGTGGAATGTATTCAACTTTTCCACTCTGAAGGGTGGTTTAAGATTTTTGCATTTTCAAGCCCTAAAAACGCTGTCACCGTCTAAACGAAAGGCACTTCTGATAAAATACTTTGTTAGTTTTTCCCACAAGTGCTCTCGTGTAAACAGGCCCTATATCTCCAAAGTTCCACATGCTCTGTTCCACCTTGTGACATCATGAAGCGGTAGTTTTCAAGTTAACATCTACCTTTTACTAGCCTGATTCATCAGCCTCGCAGCATTAGAATTTGTTCGCTCGGTAAGATGGTACTTCTTTTATTCAACCAATCGAAGAAGGACAATAATGTTTTTCCTCTTGATAAAATTCACCAAACATTTTCTTTGTTCCGGCTTTAAATCCTTGATCTCGGGAATCGTTGCCTTGGCTCTTTGCTGATTGGCTGGTGCCCGAACTTTCACTTACGGGGTTTTTACGAACCGTCTTGTGTATTCCGATTCCTGACCTAGTCACTGGAGAGAAATGAAATTGAGCACAGGCACTAGGTCGCACCAGCCTGACTAACCTTTTACCTCTTTTCAGCAGAGATTAGCAATCAGAGAGCTAAAACCATCCAAATGATTTTAATGAAGATGTACGGAGTTTAAAAACACAGTGGAGCACTTCCTGTATTACCATATGACATCACAAGTGTTTTCTATGTGAGAGAAGAACTAAATCTGCAGGGTTTGTGTGTTAGACATGTTTAAATGAATCAAAACTCAACTCCAAGTTTTGTTTTTGATGAGAAAACTACAGTCAGTGTTGGGGAGTAACAGATTACATGTACCGAAGTTACGTAATCAGAGTACAAATTATGAGTAACTGTATTCGGTTGCAGTTACTGTTCGAGTGAGTGGTAATTGGATTACAGTTACTTTGTTGAAATAAATGGATTACATGGCGATATTTTCCTGCACATTTTGGGCTATATCCCTTTTTTTTTTTTTTTTTTCCTGGTAATTCCACTCATTGCCAGACACTAAACCAGGTCCAAATCAGGTCCACACCAGGTCTAAACCAGGTCTAAACCAGGTTTAAACCAAGACTAAACCAGGTCCAAACCAGGTCCAAACCAGGTCTAAACCAGGACTAAACCAGGACTAAACCAGGTCCAAACCAGGTCCAAACCAGGTCCAAACCAGGTCCAAACCAGGACTAAACCAGGACTAAACCAGGATTTAACAGGACTAAATCATGCTGCGCAGACGTGTCTCCTCTTCTTCTGGCAATAATATTTTTAATATGTTTAAGTAAAGTCGGGGCTTTTTAATTGACTTTTATCAGACAAAACATCTTATGTTCTGATCCTGGTCTTTGCTTCTCTACAGCAAATCAAGTAATCCAAAGTATTCAGATTACGTTATTCACTTTCAGTAATTTAATGGATTACGTTACAAACTACATTTTGGAGTATGTAATCTGTAGGGGAATACATTTTAAAAGTCACCTTCCCAACACTGACTACATTCTAACATACAGTAGATCAGAAAATTGCGTTAAAAGAGATACAGTATGTATTTGCTCAATAAGAAATAAATGAATAAAAAGTTGGTATCTCTGCTGCCTTAATGGCCCATGAATAAGCCTTGCCCATTTCTCCAAGACATATTTTTATAGCAGTTACCACCACACAATAGAAAAAGATCTGCTGCTCTCCTAACCTATAGTCTCCCGTAAAACTGCTCTGAATGGACATCACTTTCCTAATTGCTTCTCTCGTGGTTTGGTCCAAAAGCTCATAATAAACCCCATACATTATGCATAGAGGCTTTATTTTTCTGTCAAATTATTTTAAGTCTCTTTTTTGGCATAATATATCTAGCATTCACACTTTTATTTACTGAAATTCTTTTTTTGTCAACGCTAATT